ATTTTTTAGCCAGAGGTCTAGTACAACAGCATAAAGTGAAGCACAAACATGGAAAATTGAAGCTGAAGGGAGAAAAAAATAATTTTGAGAAACTTCCCCATATCCTCCTGCCAAAGCATTCATGGCAATGTAAAACGAAAAGCATGACTAAATTACAATGTAAAGCCCTTCTAAAAAAATCAAAACCTAAGGTAAAGCAGAACACATTCTGTTAATCCAGAACAGTGTATGAACTTTGCTTTCACTGTGACTGTGCATGTAAACTAAGATAAAGCAATGGCATCCATATTTAGAAAAAAAGTTTAATCACTTTATAATATTTATACCTTGTCCTCATACTATCAATTTTTACTTTGCAAAATTGAAAAAGACATCTTTGAACAGTACCTAATCATTTATATAGTCAACACTCACATGAACTATGATGGGGAAGGAGCTTTTCTTGCTGTAAGGGATGCACATGACAGGAGGAAACTGAAAACACGGGGAGATTTAATCCTATGAAAGTAGCTATTTTTCAAGCCAACAACATAGTAAAGCCCTACAAAAATATCCTAAATTCATACTTCAAAAAAAGTTAATGTAAATTATATGCATCCACACTGCTTCCAAAATATTTGGAAAGAGTAGTTTCAAAACAAAAGTGGAGTGGGTAAAGAGGGAGGAATTGCTACGTCAGATTACTGTCATTTGCGTCAAACTTTCCAGAAGTAGTTTTTTCAAACCTTAATAGTGCACAGCACAAAGTGATTTTGTTAAGATTAATGTGGTATAAGTATGACAGATTCGCAGCGGTCTGTAATAATTTATGAATACTGTATCTGGATCAGATCATTGTGTTATTTATTGTATACATATATTGTGTTAATTCACTAGCAGAATTGTCAAGAAATAGAGGTGATTTTCTCATCTCCTGAGAGACGCTTCAAGAGAGTAGAGACAATGCAGATACATTCACTCAGACAGCTGCTGAGCAGCTCAATCAGTTTAATTAGGTCCAAGAGTCACAGGAAAGAACAAAGTCCTTTGACTAGATTTAAAAGGGAGTCCCTGAAGGTCAGGGAGACTGAGGTACTGATGGCCACCCATACCCCAGAGGCAAGAGAGTCTGGGATTATATTGATCTTCCTAAGCCTTTAGGGAAGAAACAAACCATCTATAAACATGGGTTGTTTAAAAAAAACAAACCCAAAAAACCCCTCTTCTCTTATGCTTTGATTTAAGAAAGCTGTCTCGGTTACAATATATACACCACTGGTCCCAGCTTCTAAAAGGGAAGTAACCAAGGTATCAAGTCCAGTGGAAGGTAAACACAGTTGATACACGTGGTACTACAGCCTAGTACTCCCATCTAAAAGTGGGAGAACCGAACCCATGCAGGTAAGGCATGAGACCCAAGGCCTGAAATTAGTGTATTCAGAAAGACATGAGGATGATATCCCTAGCCCCAACCATGACAGCGAATATTACTGTTTCCAATTTTAGATTAATACACGTTAGTTGTATTTCACAGACATACATACTTTACCTCATACATGATTTGTCCTGATGCCAAGCGTTTTCTGTCACCAAAGGCTAACTGCAGCAGATGCAAACTCACAACATCTCCTTCACTAGAAAGAAATTACAAGTTTGAGCATAATTTCAGCACCTTTGTAATCCACCTGAAATATCTGATAAGTAGCTATTGCCAAAGCAAAGCAGAATCATATTGTATTGCACATTTAAAAGGATGAGGTCTCTGTTATAAACTGGAAAACAACCCACTTTCCAAACAATTACAATTTGTCATATTTGGACAATTGTAGGAGAAGAGGAGATAAATTTGAAGATTTTTTCATTTGGCACTCGGTATTTAATTGACTGAATTCCGAACTCTGCTTTTTTGCTTAACTCCATGGACTTCAGATTAACGTTAACCACACAATTTTCCAGAGCGTTAACATTCATCTATAAAAAACACTACCAGCATCAGTTCTTTACAATGAAATGTTAATGCAGGAACCTTTACCAAAAGAGCCTTAAATTTAAACTTACAATCTACACAGCATGCTCTGATTGTATTATTTTGTCATGATATGAAACTAAAGAACCACCAAAGTTCTGAGTTTGAGAAAGAATGATTAAAAGGATAGTTACTTCTGTTTTGCCTACTTTCTGAAAACCTGAACAAATTAAAGTTTTTATATAAAAGCATTCCCCAGGCTCTTGGGAAACAACCAAAATACAACAAAAACAGCTCTAAGACAGCTATTTGAATAAATGTAATAAAAAACTGCTCTGAAAGCCACAACTCAAATGGAGAGAGTATTACACAGGAAAGAAAAAAAAGAGTGTACAAAATATATATAAAACATATATATACACACACACATATATATACTGGTGCTCAGATATAAGATGATGGGTACCTTATAAATGTCAAAGACAGAAATAAGGGGTCATGAAATACCTTTGATAACGAATAGTCTTCCAAGACAAGTGATAGTAGCTTATCACTTGGGACATTTAAAACCAGACAAAACAAAACACTAGAAAATTGCTCTAGGAAAAAGGCATTTCTAGGTGTTCATCACAGTAGTACTCAGTAGGTCCTGTCCCTCTGTACTTGCAGGAGATCTATGAAAGCTACCTAAAAGTCAAGTATAAAGCTTTTTGTAAAATACAAAAAGTAAAGTCATTTGCATGGCTGCAACTTTCACTGGCATTTCACCAGTGCTATAATGGTTTAAATTCTATTTACAAGAGCAATTAAGATTCACAATCCCATTTTGTAGCAAGAAGGCAACAGATTGAAGTTACACTTCAAAGCTTCACTACTTCTCAGCTATTATAGAGATGGCACTTGTGGTTCCATTGTCACGGTTAAACTGAGTACACTTACATTTTCTAAGTGATCAAAAACATTTTTTTTTAAAAATGCCAGAGTATATTCAAAAAGAAAGATTGAAATGATTCATAGCTACAACACTACATATTGACCCTTCAATTGTAAACAAAAATGTAATATTAAGGGATCAAATCTCCAATTAGTAGCCCAGGGAAAGATTTACATTTATAACACGTTCAGAGTTGCGTATGTATGCCCTCCCAAAGTCAGTTGGACAACAGATAATTTAGTTTTCTAAATCAGTCTTCACTCACCTTTCTTGTGTAGACTGAACTGCCCATAAGTAACAGCAATTGCGGGGATCATTTTCGGGTTCTTGAAAAGTAACAGCATAGACAGGTATCCTCCCTCCTTCCAGCTGAAAGTGGTATCTAGAACAAAGTGGTGGGAGGAATTAAATCAGGTGATTAGATGTCTGACATTTATCCTTCCAAGTGTTCCAAGCAGCACTTCAAAAGCCAAGCATTTTCTCATGCCAGAAATACTTACAATTATTTAAAAGTTGATTTTAATTTTAGAGAACATTTTTAACAATTTCAGAAGGATTTAATAAAGCTAGACAATCGAGCAACATGACCGCAAATAAACTTCAATGTAAATAAGTACAATATTATGAACATTTGGACTACTCACACCTTTTGATGTGTTCTATGTTTTTTCCTGGGTGATTGTAGTTAAATGAGCAGTCAGCATGAATAGTTGGGTGGAAAAAATCTGCTCGAAACACAATGATGACCAAAAGAGCAAACAAGTAGTTGGGTTACTTTTAGGACTTCTACCTGTTTCCTTTTGATCAGACCAGAAGTTTTCAAAAATGCTATGTAATTTGTTTAATCCAGCTATGTAAAATAAACTTAATCTTTCCTCAGACTCATTTGAATTGGAAGACCTTCCAATGAGTCTTCTAATCCAGTGGTTCTCAACCTTTCCAGACCACTGTACCCCTTTCAAGAGTCTGATTTCAGTCCCAAGCGGCAAGGCTTCAGCCCAAGCCCCACCACCTGGGCTGAAGCATGTAATTTAGCTTTGTGGGGCCCCCTGTGGTGTGGGGCTCCAGGCTATTTCCCTGCTTGCCACCTCCCAATGCCAGCCCTGCACTTGCAACACCCCTAAACCTATCCCGCGATCCCAGGTTGAGAAACTCTGATATAGCATACAGAGCAATATAAATAAGTCATTATCTATATGAAATTCTAATTTGTACTGATTTCACTAGTGCTTTTTATGTAGCCTGTTGTAAAACTAGACAAATATCTAGATGAGTTGACGTATTCCTGTAAGATCTCTGCATACCCCCTGGTTGAGAACCACTATTCTAATCTATCCCCTGCATTGTTGTAGGATCAACGCATTCTCTCTCCTTTGACTCTTCTAGGAGGAATGTCCAGCTTTGAACATCTCCAACAATGGAGTAGCCTGTTCTATTTAACTGAAGTTTTACCATGCATCTGAAGGAGTGGGGTTTTTTACCCACGAAACCTTATGCCCAAACAAATCTGTTAGTCTTTAAGGTGCCACCGGACTCCTTTTTGTTTTTGTGGATACAGATTAACACAGCTACCCCTTTGATACTTGGTACCTAAAACCATTTCTTTCTTCCTTCTTTCCTTGATGATTAACATAAGTGGTTTGGGATAAATTATAACATTTCCTTTGCACACCTGACAAGGTAGAACTCAAACTAATTATCTGAGCATTTTATTATAGGCCTGATTTTCAAAATTTTATCTTTTTTGCCTATCTCCTCTGAATTGTCTTTTTTCAAAATGTGGTACCTAAAACTTAGCACATTGTTTCCAGCTGAAATCAAATCAGTGCCAAGTAGAATTAATTACCTGTTTCTAGACTAAGGGGTTTAAATACCTTTGTCTTTGTGACCTACTCACTCTATTTACCCGAAGCCCCAGAACCTTCTTTCTAGTACAACCACTTACCAATATTGCACCCTTGTATATGTACACATTCGACAATATCTGGTGAGCCATTACATGTTTGCTTAAATGAATCTCATTTTGATTTAAGTTAATTTTCTAATCTAATAATGTATTTTAATCCTAGCCTCTAGAATATTTTGCGGTCCTTCCCCATGTTTCTATTGCCTAAAAGTTTGATTGGCACACTCCTTGTTCTATTCTTCAAGATCTTAGCAAACATGTGGGATCTATTTTTATCAAGACAGTATTATTCTTTTAAGAAAAAACAACTACTTACCCATCTAATTAACACTGGAAAGCATAAATGCTATATATTATTTAAGCATTTTACAAGCCAACAGTGAAGATATAACCCACTTTCCCAGAGAAAGAGGACATAATGTAGAACCACATCTACACACCCAGAGTCTGTGGCCCACTATATAAGCATCCAGTTTTCACTGATACATCCCTTTAACCACATCAGTAATAGATGAGACACTGGAGCAGTGATAGAACAAGAGTGACCAGTCCCAAGGTGGAACAGTCTCCAATCTCAGTCATGACTGGAATGTGGGAAAGGCTATTTTTCAGGCACAAACGATCTGTTAGATGTTTTAATTAGGGCTGTCGATTAATCACTGTTAACTCATAGGATTAACTCAAAAAAATTAACTGATTAATTTTTTTAATCACCATTAATCGTAGTTTTAATCGCACTGTTAAACAGTAGAATATCAACTAAAATGTATTAAATATTTTCAAATATAATTATTTCAATTACAACACAAATACAAAGTGTACAGTGCTCACTTTATATTATTTTCTATTACAAATATTTGTACTGTAAAAATGATAAAGAAATAGTATTTTTTAACTCGCCTCATACAATTGCTTTAGTGCAATCTCTGTTGTGAATGTACAATTTACAAATGTAGAGTTTGTTACATAACTGCACTCAAAAACAAAACAATATAAAACTTTAGCGCCTACAAGTCCACTCAGTCCTACCTCTTGTTCAGCGAACCGCTAAGACAAACAAGTTTGTTTACATTTATGTGAGATAATGCTGCCCACTTCCTATTTACGTCACCTGAAAGCAAGGTATTTACGTGCCAGATATGCTAAACATTTGTATGCCCCTTCATGCTTCGACCACCATTCCAGAGGACATGCTTCTGTGCTGATGATGCTCGTTAAAAAAACTGCAATAGTTACATTTGAGAGTGAACTCCTTGGAGGGGGGTGGGGGGGAGAGATTTCATGTAATAGCAGTCTCAGATGATGATCCAGCATACATTGTTTGTTTTAAGAACACTTAACTGCAGATTAGACAAAACGCAAAGGTACCAATATGACATTTCTAAAGATAGTTACAGCACTCAACCCAAGGTTTAAGAATCTGAAGTGGCTTCCAAAATCTGAGATGGATGAGGTGTACAGCATGCTTTCGAAAGTCTTGAAAAAGCCACACTCTGATGCGGAAACAGAACCACCAAAAAAAAAAAATCAACCTTCTGCTGGTGGCATCTGACTCAGAAGATGAAAATGAACACGCGTCCCTCCGCACTGCTTTGGATGGCTATTGAGCAGAACCTATCATCAGCATGGACACATGTCCTCTGGAATGGTGCTTGAAGCACGAACTAGCACACTTCAGGTGACATTGTAAACAAGAAGCGGGCAGCATTATCTCCTGCAAATGTAAACAAACTTGTTTGTCTGAGCGATTGGCTGAACAAGTAGCAACCAATCGCTACTAAGGTTTTACATTGTTTTGTTTTTGAGTGTGTCAAGGTTCCTCCCCCACTCTGAACTCTAGGGTACAGATGTGGGGACCTGCATGAAAAAACCCCCTAAGCTTATCTTTACCAGCTTAGGTCAAAGCTTCCCCAAGGTACAAAATATTACACCCGTTATCCTTGGAATGGCCGCTACCACCACCAAACTAATACTGGTTACTGGGGAAGAGCTGTTTGGACACGTCTTTCCCCCCAAAATACTTCCCCAAAACCTTGCACCCCACTTCCTGGACAAGGTTTGGTAAAAAGCCTCACCAATTTGCCTAGGTGACTACAGACCCAGACCCTTGGATCTTAAGAACAATGAACAATCCTCCCAACACTTGCACCCCCCCCCCTCCTGGGAAATGTTGGATAAAAAGTCTCACCAATTTGCATAGGTGACCACAGACCCAGACCCTTGGATCTGAGAACAATGAAAAAGCATTCAGTTTTTACAAGAAGACTTTTAATAAAAAATAGAAGTAAATAGAAATAAAGGAATCCCCCCTGTAAAATCAGGATGGTAGATATCTTACAGGGTAATTAGATTCAAAACATAGAGAACCCCTCTAGGCAAAACCTTAAGTTACAAAAAAGATATACAGACAGAAATAGTTATTCTATTCAGCACAATTCTTTTCTCAGCCATTTAAAGAAATCATAATCTAACACATACCTAGCTAGATTACTTACTAAAAGTTCTAAGACTCCATTCCTGTTCTGTCTCTGGCAAGAGCAGCACACAGACAGACCCTTTGTTCCTCTCCCTCCTCCCAGCTTTTGAAAGTATCTTGTCTCCTCATTGGTCATTTTGGTCAGGTGCCAGCGAGGTTACCTTTAGCTTCTTAACCCTTTACAGGTGAGAGGAGCTTTCCCCTGGCCAGGAGGGATTTCAAAGGGGTTTACCCTTCCCTTTATATTTATGACACGCCCCCCAAATCTCAGCTAGGGTGAAACACTGGCTGGGATTTCTTCCTGGAGCTCTAGGAAAACAGAGTTAATAAGACACATGCATCTCTAAATATACTACCAAGTACATAAAGACTAACAATATTTTCCACATCTCAAGGACGATTTTAACCAGTTGATTCTGGGAAACTTTCACGGGAGAGTGCATCAGCCACTTTGTTAGAAGCTCCTGAGATGTGTTGGATGTCGAAATCAAAGTCTTGGAGAGCTAAACTCCACCGAAGAAGTTTTTTGTTAGTTTCTTTGACGGTGTGAAGCCACTTTAGTGCAGCATGGTCGGTTTGCAGGTGGAAACGCCGTCCCCAAACATATGGGCGTAGCTTTTCCAGAGCGTAGACAATGGCGTAACATTCTTTTTCAGTGACTGACCAGTTGCTTTCCCTCTCAGACAGTTTTTTGCTGAGAAACACTACAGGGTGGAATTCTTGATCAGGTCCTTTCTGCATTAAAACTGCTCCCACACCACGCTCGGACGCATCTGTGGTTACTAGGAACGGTTTGTCAAAGTCTGGGGCCCTTAGTACAGGGTCAGACATGAGTGTCGCTTTAAGCTTGTTAAAGGCCTTCTGACACTTTCCGGTCCACTGAACAGCATTTGGCTGTTTCTTTTTGGTTAGGTCTGTCAGTGGGGCAGCGATTTGGCTGTAGTGCGGTACAAATCGTCTGTAATAACCGGCCAAGCCTAAGAAGGATTGAACCTGTTTC